TGTTCATCATAAGTAGATTACTCTGCAGAAATGTAATGGTCAGAGTAAGATACAGTATGTCTTTGTAATGCTATTCTAGTGAAGGCAAGGCTGACTGTGTGAAAGACTTGCCTTTCCTGGGAGGCTCTCTGCAAGACTGGAAGCCAGGCCTTTACTATGGAGTGGATCAGTGCCAGATAGCGTTTGGTAGCACCGCCAGGGCCTGCTCCTTCACTTACACTGACATGGTGAGGGACACATTGACATTAATGGCAGTCACTTCCGTGAATATACTATCATGGTTATACTGTAGTAATAAGACTGGTTATGCAGTTTGTTGACAGCATCTATTATACTGGCTGGGTACAACAAACAAGTCTCTGTTAGTCAGGCCCAATTACAACACTCATCCTCATGACTCCTCTTAAGTTCAAGTGTCTTCATCACTGTGATGGGAAGTAAGTAAAACAAATCTTCATATTCTTATATTTCCAGACCTGCATTTGGTGGGAATGATTGTAAGGGCAAGGATACAGAGGCTGAACTTGGTCACTGGCAGGTAAAACTCCACAGGTCCTGTTTGTTTACATTGGGCTTCCTGTATGTCATGTTTACAAGGTACAGTACATTGTGGCACCATTTATTCCATGTCAGTGAGTACTGTAAGTGTATATATGCACATGCTTTGGAGTGGAAGTAACGGAGTTGAATTGGAAAGAGTAAAGTTGCTTCCTTTCAAAAGATTGTTATGATCAAAAGTTCAATTGATTGTCAAATGGATGTCAACTGAAATTAAGGGTATAAACTCAACAAGCAATGTTCCACATTCCTCCTTCACACTGCTGTCTGAGTAGCGGTGTGAGAGGACTCAGCTGGCCTTCATGGCAAAGCAGTGCTCCAGCCCCTGTGCTTGTCCCCCAACACTGTTGGATTTGTCACAGTTGGGCCAAGACACCTCGTCAATGGGAAATGGTGGGGTGGAGGGTCAATAAAACCACTACAGTATATAAAATGACTTTTGACATTCTCCCTCCACTGTATCCCTCTGATTGTCCCCCATGACCAGGGGATGAACAGTGCAGGTAATGTGGAGAGAGGGAGAGAACTTAATTGTAAACCGTGGGTCTCAGTTTGTGGATAGGACTCGGTATGAAACAGAAAGTCCAGCTCCATTTGGTGCCACCACAGCTTGTCAAAGGGGGGATGTGCCAGGTAAAGGCCTGCTTGGGTTTCTCCACCTTAGAACGTTCTAGAGACAATTTGAAAGATTATTAGACCTGACATGTCCTCATAAGCTAATGGGCTATAATTTCTGTTTGTCTTCCACCCGCTGCTTGGCTGTGATGGAGTGTTGCAGTCTGGGAAGGTAGAGGATGTGTGTGGGATGTGTGGAGGAGATGGCCCCTCCTGCAGTCTCACCTCTCAGTCTCACCTCTCAGTCTGTCCTCTCAGTCTCTCCTCTCAGTCTCAGGAAAACGTTTTATAGTGCTGTGCTGCCTTTCTTTGATCTACAAATTATTTTGGACATATGAGTCATAATGTCAAACGTGAGACGTACAAGTAAACAATAATGTTTTATTTGTTGTGGTAATAGCTACTTTTTCCAAATGTCATTGTTGTAAATAATCACTAGAACACCCCACAGACCACCACAGTCATGCCCACCTTGACCCCTAGAACCAGTAAGGTGGCAGAACTCTCTGCTTCTGTACCATTCATCAGAATACGCTGGACCAAGCATTGAGAGAACTCCAATAGACCAAGAGGAAATTCCCTGTTGGTCCGAGGGCAGACACTGGTTTTTGAAGTTCGCAGGCAGGGTTACCTCATCACGTGACCATGCCCAACTCATGTCCGCTACATGAGCAGATAGAGGATACTGAACTGACCTCCAGGACCAACGTCCCCTGGAATCTCCAGAATCCCCTGTCCCCTGGAAACAGAGTGCAGCTCACTTACAGCAGTCAGAAGAACTCCAAGAAGAGTAATCACTCATCACCAGGGTATTACGGTACGGAGCTGCTATGGGCTGAAACAGAAGGTATATTACCATCATGCTGTTACACAGTGATAGAAGAATAGATTTGGTAGAATGACATGCAAAATTGCAAATAACATTATTTGGTTCATTTAAGACATACCCATATGCCTCTCAGTGTTGCTCCCACAGACTGATGTCCAGCTGTTTGGTCCCAGTGGGGTCATTGAGAATCCAGCGATGACCTCAGCGTTGGGCAGTCACACCTTTCGAGTGCTCATCAATGCCCCTCCCAGTAAAGATCAGGATCCAGGCTCTGTGCATGGGCCCCGTGGACAACAGCACAGCAAACCAGTCCACCGTCATTATGGTGAGGGAGGAGGGAGAAGGTTCTCTCTTGCTTTTTCAGTATTCAGTATATCAGTGCAAACTGTTTAGTTGAGTGTACATTAATAAACCTTCATGTTGACATGTACAGTGGGGAAAAAAAGTATTTAGTCAGCCACCAATTGTGCAAGTTCTCCCACTTAAAAAGATGAGAGAGGCCTGTAATTTTCATCATAGGTACACGTCAACTATGACAGACAAATTGAGGGAAAAAAATCCAGAAAATCACATTGTAGGATTTTTTATGAATTTATTTGCAAATTATGGTGGAAAATAAGTATTTGGTCACCTACAAACAAGCAAGATTTCTGGCTCTCACAGACCTGTAACTTCTTCTTTAAGAGGCTCCTCTGTCCTCCACTCGTTACCTGTATTAATGGCACCTGTTTGAACTTGTTATCAGTATAAAAGACACCTGTCCACAACCTCAAACAGTCACACTCCAAACTCCACTATGGCCAAGACCAAAGAGCTGTCAAAGGACACCAGAAACAAAATTGTAGACCTGCACCAGGCTGGGAAGACTGAATCTGCAATAGGTAAGCAGCTTGGTTTGAAGAAATCAACTGTGGGAGCAATTATTAGGAAATGGAAGACATACAAGACCACTGATAATCTCCCTCGATCTGGGGCTCCACGCAAGATCTCACCCCGTGGGGTCAAAATGATCACAAGAACGGTGAGCAAAAATCCCAGAACCACACGGGGGGACCTAGTGAATGACCTGCAGAGAGCTGGGACCAAAGTAACAAAGTCTACCATCAGTAACACACTACGCCGCCAGGGACTCAAATCCTGCAGTGCCAGACGTGTCCCCCTGCTTAAGCCAGTACATGTCCAGGCCCATCTGAAGTATGCTAGAGTGCATTTGGATGATCCAGAAGAGGATTGGGAGAATGTCATATGGTCAGATGAAACCAAAATAGAACTTTTTGGTAAAAACTCAACTCGTCGTGTTTGGAGGACAAAGAATGCTGAGTTGCATCCAAAGAACACCATACCTACTGTGAAGCATGGGGGTGGAAACATCATGCTTTGGGGCTGTTTTTCTGCAAAGGGACCAGGACGACTGATCCGTGTAAAGGAAAGAATGAATGGGGCCATGTATCGTGAGATTTTGAGTGAAAACCTCCTTCCATCAGCAAGGGCATTGAAGATGAAACGTGGCTGGGTCTTTCAGCATGACAATGATCCCAAACACACCGCCCGGGCAACGAAGGAAGAAGCATTTCAAGGTCCTGGAGTGGCCTAGCCAGTCTCCAGATCTCAACCCCATAGAAAATCTTTGGAGGGAGTTGAAAGTCTGTGTTGCCCAGCGACAGCCCCAAAACATCACTGCTCTAGAGGAGATCTGCATGGAGGAATGGGCCAAAATACCAGCAAAAGTGTGTGAAAACCTTGTGAAGACTTACAGAAAACGTTTGACCTGTGTCATTGCCAACAAAGGGTATATAACAAAGTATTGAGAAACTTTTGTTATTGACCAAATACTTATTTTCCACCATAATTTGCAAATAAATTCATTAAAAATCCTAGAATGTGATTTTATGGATTTTTTTTCTCATTTTGTCTGTCATAGTTGACGTGTACCTATGATGGAAATTACAGGCCTCTCTCATCTTTTTAAGTGGGAGAACTTGCACAATTGGTGGCTGACTAAATACTTTTTTCCCCACTGTATGCCATTGTAAATAACATGATGTCTCCAATCCCATCTCCATTAGACACGAGATGTAGACATCTTGAAGACCAACGTGTTCAAGGGTAAACAGCTTTTTCACTGGCGCTCAGCTGGAAACATGGCAGAGTTAGAATTCCTGCATAGCAAGGGGAACTTCTGAGCGAAATACTCATTTGTGGACCCTTGATCTGTGGCTCGCCTTTCTATTATACAGTATTTAATGAAACAGGAATTTAGGCAGTTACTGGAGGACAGTTTTTCCTTAATTTAATCATTATTGTCAGGTTTTGTAACATAAAAATAAATACTCAAAGTGTAAATGATTATCATTACAGCAGTCTTTTGTTTAGTTTTTTTAGTTGTATAGAAAACATTTACCAATGTGAATCACAGCAGAACCAATAAGCAAGTCATTATTATGGCACGTCTGGTATAGTATGGCACACAATTTCATTACTTAAATAACTTAACTGTTTGAACTGATTATTTTTTAAATATGAAATAGCAAATATGTAGGTAAACAAACGGAATAAACACATGTAGAATCCACCAGAATAACATTTAAGACAGCATCAACATGTGTAGACTTAAAAAATAAAATAATGTTTAAACATAATATAGTCATCATGATCTGGTGTGGATCTTTCTTTAACATAAGGTGCTTACTATCTGGAAATGGACAAACCCATATCATTAAACATGAAATGTATAACTTTCCATCAGTCATTCTCACTTTTCACTGAAGTACAGGTATAGTCTTCTGGGTATAAAAGGACTTTCCTTCCCACACTCATATCAAGTCTACCTGAAAGGCCCAAAAGCTTTCCAAGGTCCACCTAACTCAGTGCAAAGTGCTCCTTCTCTTTCCATGTTACACCACTAGATATACCAGGGTGGCTTTAGTTTCTCCCACTACCTCCAGCACAGGTTCAGTCCCACACAGCCCTACAGAGGAGCCATGTCCCCTGTGGGGCCTCACTGCTTGGCCTTAGATGTCTCCTCCAGCAAAGACCTCATGTTTCTCAGAGCCTTCTTCACAGCCCGGCCAAAGTTGGCAGCATGTGTCTCTTCACAGCTGTTGAAGGCTGTAATGGCAATGTTGATGTGGTCTGCCATGGGGTTGTAACATACTCCATAGCCATCCGGCACCATTGGACCGAAGCACATCACACAGTCTGTCTTAGCACCAGCCTGAAGAAGAGACAGTGAAAAATTACCTTTCAGGCATTAGCATTTACAAATGTGGTCCAAACCTTATTGTCTAATAAACTAAAATTAGTACCAAACCTTACATTGTACATACAAGTACTATGTTCTTAATCATGTTGCCACTGGCTACAGGTCTGCAACTTGTCTTCTTATATGTTGCATTTTGGGATGCTTAATATCTCACGTAAACAGCTTGCATACCTGGCTGGTGGAGAGATTGAAATGTTCAGCCACAGCATAGGCTGTATCCATGAATATCTCTGGCATGGACGTCAATTCTTCAATCGCCTGCAACTTCAGGCCAAGGAGATGTCTGTCTATGGCCTGGCCATGAATTGCCTGCTCAGTAATGGACATACATAAAAGCACAAAATAAAAATGTACATTGCAGTGAGTGGGGACAAGCATGGATTATTACAGTAAATGTAGATTTCCATCAAAAACTGATGCAGAGTTCCAGTCCTCACCATATGAGTGGATTCTCTGTGGGCTTGGCATGCCTTGTCCAATAGAGACACCTTCTCTGTGTTCTGTCAACATATAGGAAAAACATACATCATTGCAGTACAGTAACAGTCAGTGGTTAATGTCTATTTACTGTCAACATCCAGGTTTCATAGTTGACTCACCGGTTTAGCTGGGTCCTCCATCGCCTGGACAAATTTGAGCGACTCGTTGGAGCAGGAGCGGATGGTGTCTGTTCGACCAAGTGCAAACATACGCAAGGACGCACTCTCATAGGTGGAACAGCACATCTTATACATTCTGAAACATGAAAGAGCAGTAAGTCTCAAATGTGTCAAAGTGACAGGTTAAGATAACCCAACTGAAGTTTCAGATGATGTTTTGTTAGAGTAAAAATTTAATGAAACCCACCTGAAGTAGGCAAGCTGTAGAGCCATTTGTATAAAAGCATCTGGACTCAACTTGTGCGCCCTTGGAACATTTCTCCCATAGTCAGAAAAGAAGACCACGTTCACATCCAAGTCATGTGACATTCTGGGGAATAAAAGAGTCAGCCAAAGAGTGAGAAACACTTCAAAGACACGTTTGAATAGAAACTGCTAGGAAAACTGAAACAGACTGTACATACATGTTCATATTCTGCTTGGCCGACTCAATATCCTTCTTCACCTCAGGTGTGATGTTGAAACGCAGTTTGGGAGGCATGGGCAGAGGGGTCATGGGAGTGCGTACTACCTCCATCCTCCTCCTGTTTAAACAACACAAAACATTACACCTCAAAGGGCCAATCAGCAGTTGAAACAATAACAAAGCCCCGCCACTGTTTCGGTAAAAAGCTGAGGGATGGGGCTGGAGAAATGTAACCACTCAAATTCATAGACAGAGCTATGGATGCAAGGACTGACCATCCATGTTGGTAGTTTTAACCATGTTTTGAGGCTAAACAGTGTTTGTTTCCCTTTACTTTGTTTACAAACATTGGACTAAAACATGCTTATATTATGGGTTGATGTGGTACGACAGTTAAACTAAGCTCATGAGGCATTTATAAGTTATATTCTTCAAGAATCAATGGGTATAAAATGATGGATGTAGCAACTGCTGATTGCCTCTTTCAAGAGAGGCAGGGTAACATTCAGTAGGCCAGGGTCATGGTCACAGCCTGGTCAAGGTCAGTAGGCCAGGGTCATGGTCAGTAGGCCAGGGTCATGGTCAGTAGGCCAGGGTCATGGTCACAGCCTGGTCATGGTCAGTAGGCCAGGGTCATGGTCACAGCCTGGTCATGGTCAGTAGGCCAGGGTCATGGTCACAGCCTGGTCATGGTCAGTAGGCCAGGGTCATGGTCACAGCCTGGTCAAGGTCAGTAGGCCAGGGTCATGGTCACAGCCTGGGTCATGGTCAGTAGGCCAGGGTCATGGTCACAGCCTGGTCATGGTCAGTAGGCCAGGGTCATGGTCACAGCCTGGTCATGGTCAGTAGGCCAGGGTCATGGTCACAGCCTGGTCATGGTCAGTAGGCTCCAAATGATAGTTAACCAAGTTTTTAAAAAGATGAGGCACTATCTGAACTTGACAATAGGAAATCTTCAAAATGCTTGCTATGCTCAGGCATAATGCACCTGATCCGGTTGGAAAAATAGCCATTGCAACCAGCAATCTGTGCCGAAGTTCTTCTCTAGAGTACACAGTGACCATAGAAATACTGTGTACCATTAATCAATGAATGAAATATATCCTGTAATGCCTTACATGTACTCAACCACATGATCCACCAAGAAGACAATGGGTGGGCCTTCAGCTGGGGCATGCTCATACACCAGACCACAGGTACCATCTTCACCCACAATAAACTGGGGATTAAATAACAAACATTATAAAAATTGCAAGAGGCTTGTGATTAAAAATATGAAGTACAATATCTGGGAGGATGCAACCTTTGTTCTATAGCTCTAGTCTCAGAGCTCACCTGTAACGTCTTATCAAACCAGCGGTTGCCACTGTTCCAGCGACTCCCTCCACCATGCAGCATCTGGGCAGCGACACGACTCTGGTACCGCTGCTCAGACATCTGTGGCATGGGGGCATCTAGACACACTGTGAATATGCTTTTCTGGATAGCACGGACAGACTCCTTATTTGTCTTGTCTAGGGAAAGAAACGCTACAATAAGCAACCCAACAAGGACCTAGAGGAAATCATAGACCAATTGCTCTAAAACAGTGTGTCCAAAGTGATAGGTTGTTCCATTTACATTTACATTTTACATTTTAGTCATTTAGCAGACGCTCTTATCCAGAGCGACTTACAGTAAGTGAGTGCATACATTATTCTTTTTTTCATACCCCCTGTGGGAATCAAACCCACAACCCTGGCGTTGCAAACGCCATGCTCTATCAACTGAGCTACATCCCTGCCGGCCATTCCCTCCCCTACCCTGGACGACGCTGGGCCAATTGCGCGCCGCCCCATGGGTCTCCCGGTCACGGCCGGCTACGACAGAGTTACTCTTACGTCATGGCTCAAGAATGGGTTAGGGTTTTGTTTATTTGGTGGGTCACCCTATATGCTCCTCTGAGCCCTCACTGTCATAGTGATGTCCCCCCTCCATGGCCGTACCCTTGATGAGGTTGTTGTAGGCCTTGCCCCAGGTGTTGCGGTGCTGGGAGGTCAGAATGCCGATAGGCTCCTTGTTGCTCTGCAGGGACGAGTTCCAGACCTTCTCCAGTTGCATGTAGATCTGGTCCACAGTCAGTGGGGAGCCATCGCTGTTATACACATCCAGGACAAAGAACTAAGGCCAGAGGGAGAAGGCTAATCAGCATTTGAGATCTGGTTAAGTGGGTTACAGACAATAAACTAACAATGCAACAACGTGATTGATTTCCTCTCTGTGTTGTAGCAACATAAAGCAGCATCAAAAAGACCAAAACAAAGTTCTAGTGTACCTGGAAGTTATGGACCACAGTGATGTGATTAGGGGCCACTTTCCCGATAGCGTGGTTGACCACAGTGTCTCTCTTTGGTCCAGGGATACGACAGGAGGACAGGATCTGGTAGTACTGGTCCATACACAGAGGCTTCCCACCCAAATACTCAATAGGCAAGGTCTCACTGTGACACAGAGTTAGAGTCAGCCAGGGTGACGAACACGTTAGATGTACAGGTTACTGACAAAATAAAGGAAACACCGACATAAGGTGTCTTAATAGGCTGTTGTGCCACCACGAGCCAGAAAAGCTTAAATGCACCTTGGCATAGATTCTACAAGTGTCTGGAAACTCTATTGGAGGGATGCGACACCATTCTTCCACGACAAATTCCATCAGTTGGTGTTTTGTTGATGGTAGTGGAAAACGCTGTCTCAGGCACCGCTCCAGAATCTCCCGTAAGTGTTCAATTGGGAGATCTGGTGACTGAGATGGCCATGGCAAATGACTTACATAGTTTTCATGCTCATCAAACCATTAAGTGACCACTTGTGCCCTGTGGATGGCGGCATTGTCATCCTATGGGGGCGTAGCCATGGTAGCTAAAATAATGGCCTGCCCTGCATTTTTATACATGACCCTAAGCATGATGGGATGTTAATTGCTTAATTAACTCAGGAATCACATCTGTGTGAAAGCACCTGCTTTCAATATACTTTGTATCCCTCATTTACTCAAGAGTTTCCATCATTTTGGCAGTTACCTGTATATCATTAAAATAGATAGTATTTTCTATATCAATATTACTAACCTGTCAATCATTTTTTTGAAGTCCAAAACCCCTGCAATCAATTTTGCAGCAAACCTGAGCAGAAAACATTGTTGAATTAATTAATAATGATACCATATATGGTATTTCTTCATCCAACTGACATTCAGCCTTTCAGTGCTCCCCCATCTCATGTTCTATTCACATAATCTACCCTAATTTGCTTCAGGGGCGCCATACTACTGCTATGGCTGACCTTGTAAAACAACACATTTCACTGCACCTATCCGGTGCATGTCAAAATAAACAATTATTATTATTTTATCTCCAACCAGACTTGCTTACGTCAGACTCAGGACCATGATTATTATTATAACAAACATCTGTCTATTTTGATTCTATATTTCTGCATTTAGTGAACTGTCTGTGTCACTCTAGTCTAGTGTCTAAGATGGTGTAATAATAATAATATGCCATTTAGCAGACGCTTTTATCCAAAGCGACTTACAGTCATGCGTGCATACATCTTTTTTTTAAATGTTGTGTATGGATGGTCCCGGGGATCGAACCCACTACCCTGGCGTTACAAGCGCCGTGCTCTACCAGCTGAGCTACAGAGGACCACTGTACAGTACAGTATATTGTTGAATCATTGGCTTTTCATATGAGCATTGGAGTCTGCTGTATCCTCTTCTAGCCTACTGTAGACGTTTGGCACTGTCCGTAATGTCGAAGCAGTACCACATACCGGCAAATGTTTACGTGAATGGTTCAGCTGAAGACAACTCAACGGCTGCCCACTCTTACGCTCATGTGTGCATGCTCTCTCTCATAGTACATTCGCTGACACGTTATGCTCAATAAAAAGCCACGTAAGCCCACAATGTTGACTGTGTACACCATTGGTCACTGTGGTCCAAAAAAGCTGAGCAATGCTTTGAACAGCCAATGTGCCTAAAATAGCCAGCACGAAGGGGAAGTTTGTCTAAAGGTCAGTATGAAACTCAAGCCTATTCTCGAGTTCACAAGAGCTATGGTGTAATACAACACTAAAGTCAATCACTTTCTACTAACTTGCTTTTTAAGAAGCAGTAGGCCTATAAACATGTGCTTTTCATTTATGTGTAGGGCAGCCATAAATACTTTTCAGTGATGGCGGGAGGGCTGATGGAGGGAGGGCATCTAAACTGTCTTGTCACAATGGCTGGTTTCAGTCTCTAGGCCTACAGTACAGTGGTCTCAGACACGCATGGTTCCTTGTTGCTCACCTCATTTGTCCTTGGCGATCTTGGAAGGTCATGCGGGGCAGGACCACCCCAGGGCTGGAATAGACTGCCACAGGCATCCGGGAATCCAGATAGGCTGACTGCATCCACCACTCTGTGAGCTGCATAAACAGCAATGACAATACTATAGTCCAGCAAGTATCAGATCATTTTCTCCTAAACACATTCACAGGTTATGACATATGCAAGGAAGTAAACCTATGGGTAAATGTTAAATGTAATCTTGAAATGTGGGGGAAATGGATGGAATAAACATTACATTTAAGTAATTGCATAATGGATGTAATACAGGTATCTTTTCCTGCCAATCAACACGGATATTTTGTTTTATGCTGCCTGTATCCCTCTAAGGACTTATTCTATTCTTCTTTCAACCTCTTTGGGCCATGCGCTGCCCTACTACATAACCCTCTTCTTTATGTGACCTTCTCTGTTCAACTACAGTATGTACCCACCCAGTTTTCTTTGTTGCTGGCTCTGCGCTCCAGGCTTCTCTGCAACCTGTCCCCCACCCCACCAGGAATGAGGAACTCCTTGACCAGCTTGCGTGTGTGATCCAGCTCCTCCTCACTGAGCAGGGGCTCCAGCATCAACAGGTAGCGCTCAAATGTCTGCCTCAGTGGAGGCACTGGCAGCTTGGGCAAATTGTCCTGGTGGTGCGAAGACCTCTCTGGGAGGATGGTCACTGACGCCGGCTTGACCAGGTGACATGGCTTCACCAAGCCTGACCTTAGCTTTAAAAAAAATTAACTGTCTTTGTATTTCGAATAAATTATTTGTTTTGCATTCAATATGACATAATTAAATACCATACATATCTAGGTCGATATTGTGTGTCTTAAAGTATCTAAAATATTAATATCCATAGTTGATAATCCCATTGGCTTATAAAATACATCAGCAATGTTGGTTGACAAGCACAGAGCTGATGTATAGGCCTATATCAGCCAGCAACTGTCAACACCATAACACAGAGGGCCATTACAACAGAAACCATAACATAATAAAACAGACAAAACTGTGATTAACAAAGCGATTAACAAAGTGATTAACATGTATTTACATTAGTTTCAATGTAAAAAGGAGTGATCAACATAATCCTATTGCATGAATCCAAAAACCGTTTGAAAGAATAGATTGCTAGAACACTGTATGATCTAATTTCATGACAGAAATTTGGAACAAAACAAATCTATCAAGTTTAGTAGGTTGATAGACTATTTGTTTGGACTGTACTTGGCTGTCAAGTTTCCTGACAGCTTTTTAAAGTTAGAATATAAATAGCCAGTTCTGCTACAGTGCGTGAACCCTTGCAATGAAAATGCAAACAAACACCACATCTAAAAAGCAATCTGTAGGCTATTACAAATTGTATGATAGTTTAACCCACTGTTGTATCTTAATCTGATATAGACATGAACCTTGAAACCTTGAAACTGACGGTTATCCATGTTGTAACCTAATATAGAGGCTCTAGTGGTAGTTACAATGGGGTAAATACAGTAAATGCAAATTTGATATGATTTTCGTGGTGACATGCAGAGTGGCATGATTTGACATTTTAGGCTACAATAATAACAGTAGCCTAACCTGGTGCCCCACCCTCATTTACAGCAGTAATAGTGAACGCACTGTTCTTAGTTATGGGCGCACAACTGCGCATTCATGAACTAGGCTATAAAAACGTTTGACTCACCACGGCTCTCACAAGAAGACCCAGCATTTTTTCATAGAAATGGCTACGCAAGGCTTTGCTTGTTGTCAATTTTAAAAAACACCTCGAGCTGTCATTTCATGCCTCAAGGACGTAGCCTACGTATGAAGTTTGTTACTTAGAAATGTCGGTGTTCTACGCCCCCCTCCGGACATGATCCAAAACCATATAACCTATGGCTGTTGCAAAACGTTTCGTCTGCAACAGAAACAGTTTACTCCAAACGGAAAACTCAAACGAGAGTTTCTATTGGACAAATTCAAGTAGGTTCCTCCCCGTTTCGTTCCGTTTGCTTCCGTTTGGTTCTTAAACAATAAACGGTTTCCGTAATGAATATACCCCTGGAGAGGGCTAAATTGTTGCCTATATTCAATCGGTCCTCGCTATCTGGGAACCTTGGGACGTCCGTACCCCATTGAAGGAGAAGGCACAGATAAATGTATAAATGTGAAGCATCCGGTTGGCGTTTCAACTCACTACCAAATATGGTGGCCGGCAGTGGGAGAAGATGGAGCGAGATGGATTTTGGCCGACATTCTGCAAATGTTCTCATCGATTAAACATTTAATCTCCATACAGTTTTCTGTTTCCAAAATTAAAATATATATTTTTTGAACAGGGTGTACTGCGTTTTGTAGACTTTACCCTTTCTAAAAATGGCGTTATTGAGAAGGAGTGCAAGGGCGAAATGAGTTATTGCACACACGAATTTAACGGAGTAGACGTTCCCTAACGGAAATATGCAAATAAATGCTAGAACTCGCCAATAGATCTCACTAGCTCGTGCGTGGCTCTGCCCAACCCCTTGCTTGTTCTGCCCGCTATGATTCATTTGCAGGCTCTGGTCTATCTTGGGTTACATTTTTACATTTTAGTCATTTAGCAGACGCTATTATCCAGAGCGACTTACAGTTAGTGAGTGCATACATTAAAAAAATATATATTTCATACTGGCCCCCCGTGGGAATCGAACCCACAACCCAGGCGTTGTAAACGCCATGCTCTACCAACTGAGCTACACGGTTAGTTAGTGTTTGTTAAAGGTTAAGGTTAGGTTTTAGGGTAGGGACGTCCCGAAGAACACGGATAGCGCTGACCCATATTCAATCATACTGGCTTGATACATATATTCACGCAACTGGATACATTGTAAATAAACTGTATTCTTTAGTTACCAAAATGATACCCCCTTGCGTTGTAGAGGGCCATAATTAAGTATGATGGCACAGAAATTGTGTAAGACATCATTAAACAAAAATGTACTTGGTCTACAGGCCTAATTAAAACATTAGCTTATATTAGCCTATGAAATGCATAACACACCTGTTCATTTTCTTATAATTTCACGGGAGTAATAAAAAATTGTTGGCCAATAAATTGGTGTAGTTATTTTCCATTATCGCATGGTGGAGCTGGTTCTGCATCACACATTTGAGCAAGGCGACATCAAGGCAACAACCTGGTGCAGGAGAAAGGGCCACATCCAACGAATTATATATACACACTAGATTACTATTTGATGCACTGTGTTGAAGCCACCCTACCTCCATCTTCGCACTCCCCCACCGGCGTAAAAAAATATATTTTGGAAGCTATAGAAATGCATTTATTGTTCACATTCGTTTAGCCACATTTATTTTATTACAGACACCTTAATGTAAGATACACATACACTTTTGAAGAATATATGAAAATATTTTCCTTTCAGTATAATTTTTTGAGATTACTAATGTTACTGTCCCCAATACAACAAAAATACTTAAATACATGTACTTTTGCCCTTGAAACATTCCTACTGAGGACCGCGCCTACTGAGGAATGCCAATATGGCCGACCGGTGGCTTCAAAGCCCCTCAATGGCCTTCATAGCATCAGCAAACCAGGGTTTACATAGGTAATTACACACATCGTGCGCGCCCTATCCCCAAAGTGCAATATAAATTGAGTTCAACACCTTTTAAAATGAAAGAGAGCAGAACAGTGTGAAGTATATCAATTGTGTATTTTATTTGAGACCACCAATGGTTTGTAGAAAAAGTAAAGTGTGTCAATCAAAAAGCCTCAATTGCTCTAGTCCATGCACCGCTGCCCGCCAATGCTTGTTTACAACACTTTGTTTGTCCGTTTACTACCTGTTCCACGTCCGTTTGCCAGTTCAACAGCTCAGTAAACCCCGAGCCTAACACTGACATGAGGTTGGAGATGTTCGTTGTGTCCAGTTGTTCGGAATTACAACAAGAAACCTCATCAGACCTGATGCGTTTGCATGACATAGGCACAAAGTCTGACAGATAATCGGAATCAGAAGCATCACTTGAATCAATTTTTCGTTTCTTATGAGAACTTTGCGGGCCCTGACCATGTTGTTTCAATGACACGCAGTAGTCTGGGGGGAGATATCCATTCTCGACAGTAGTCACCACATGTGTGTCCAAGTCCAATACAGTCTTTTGGTTGTGTGTGTTTGACACAGGAATGTCCCGGTTGGATGTGTAACGTTCCGCATGACAGTCCCAGCAGATCCCCGAGTCCTTGAGGTTAGAGTCACATTGATAGACAGGAGCCATGAGACAGGCAGGTGCCGTTTGGATGTGAGCTTCGGGCACCATTGCTGGGTGGCAAGACGATTGTGGCGCTGTGCAGTGGTAAGTGTCCAACACATCCGCAGTGTAGTTGCAACAAAACTCACCAGCTAGATCCTCACAGTTCCCGGTCAATTCAAAAGAGTCCTGCTTTTCATCACAGACAGTCCTCATCTCCCCGTTCTGCTGTAGGCAGCTGTACATTTCTGCAAACTCCATGCTCATGTAAAAGTCTCTAGCGTTCCTCAGGACATACGTGACCAGCAAGTTCTTGTGGAGCTTGATACCCCCTCTCTGCATCCTGGAGTTATGGATTTTCCGCAAAGAAATAGAGATCAGATTCTGTGCGTCAACTGCACATTCCATGATAATAAATGTGCACTTTTATTTTTCACCGACTCTAGTGAATAAAATAGATTGTATTCTGTGCGTAAAAATAGCAGTAATTTGCCTATTATAGAACTAAATTCGTGGAGAAAATCTGAACATGTTTTCTCATGCTTTCTGGGTATGGGCATAGATTTACGCCAATTATTGCTGGGAACAATTTATAGACATCTCACATAGGTTCCTCCCCATCACGGTTTCCACCAACGAAACCCCGGCGTTGTCAAAGACTGACTCGCTTGCCTCGCCTTGTAGTATGTACTGGCCAATGAGAGAGAGGCGGTTCTTCTATACCATTCAAATATATGTGCGGCAAAAGCGCACCTAGATGCACAATTGCGCATTACGCATAAGTAGGCATTCATTTCTCCACAATGATAATAAGTGGTTGTACTTCTGGTATTGCTATTTATTTTGTACATCTTCAAACATTTAAATTAATTAAATTACTTACTATTTCATCTCATCACACATATGAGCTAGTGAATCAGTGCCTGAGATGTGCAGTAATTCATTGAATAATGAATTCATTAATTGTGTTCACACACACACACACACACACACACACACACACACACACACACACACACACACACACACACACACACACACACACACACACACACACACACACACACACACACACACACACACACACACAGGTTAGGGATGAATCAGTGCATCTGCACCTGGAGGTGATGTCATAAAGTCCCAGTGATTCACGGAAACCTCTTTGTCATGAAGCATTTAGGTCTGGTTGGGAAAGCTCCCTGTTGATAGACTAATCTATCAGACTACCGAGCTGCACATCTGCTGGTAGTAGACAGATAGCTGACATCATACAGAACACCTGCACACGCCTTTCATGTTCTGCCAAAAAGGTTACAGTAATAGAGGTAGGCCTAACCACTAATTTTTTAAAACAATAATAATAACATCTTTAAGGCTATTATGGCCTGATAATACTGTATGTAAACTTGGTAGACATGGGTGCATGTGTGATGGTATGTCTGTCAGTGTAGCATTGTTGTCAGTGTTTGGGTGTGTATTTTTCAATGGGTCCAGAATGAGGGACTCAAATGAGTGTGAC